CACAACATTAGTGACCTAAATGATAACATGCAATGAAAGTATTCTAAAACAAAAGGAAAAAGGGGAAGAAATGAATGAAAAAAATATTACCATACACAGCATCCAACACAAAGTACTATCCTATGTTGTTATAACTTTGGGTGCTGTTCAGCACCATGATGTTCTCATAATTGAGAGAAAATAGAAAGAGTCTCCGTGATGGAACAAGCTGACATAATATAAGGACACACATCAAGGTGATGGGCAGTTCTGGCCTGTCAAAAATGCTACTGCAGCTTCAGCAGACATACCTCAACTAGCTTTTCAGCTGCCTGCTAACAGCATGGGGTCATTCCGAGGCTGTGAAACCTGTCTGAGAGCGAATAAATACTCAGATAACTAGTCTTGGCACATTGCACTGGATAATTACATCTGACAATCTTTTTCATGCCTTCATCCTGCTACACTTTTCAAGCTGTGGTCCCCAACCCATGCATAGACACACTAGGATATTGCATTATTACTCGCAGTCACAAGCCATCACCACTACTACAGCACACACCAAAAAAGCAAAAGACCACAGCTTATATTATTGCCTAAGAGGCAGCAAAGAGATGTCTGTTATCAAAAGTTCAGTGGTTAAGATAAAAAGTATTTAAATGGCATTTTAAGCTATGGCTACGTGCATTTCAAATTTTTACAAACTCCTAAAAGGATGCTTGGCAGTGGAGCATTAGGTGGAGTGCAAACAAAGAAGAGCTGAGAGGAACTGAGATTTCCTATTATGAACACAATTACTGACTTCTAAAAGACCACAATCTGATTTTGACAGTCATTTAAGAAGTTTCAGGAGCAAAGGATGTTGGGAACAATCTGTAACAGAGAACAAAAAGCTGTCCCTTAGTCCCAGAGAAACAGAACCTGAATTATTAACTGGCACTTTCAGTACCCAACATACTGAAATAACTGAAAAAAACCAATTTTCTAAAATTCTGAAAATATTCTATATATCTCAGCTCAAAACTATCTCTCAATAAGGAGCTCTAAAGCTATGGGAGGAAAAAAGAGGCAAAGTTTAAAAATTTGAAGAGATTGAAGGGAAGAAAAAAGCTACTTTTTTCAGAAGAGAAAAAAGGCTTACAGACTACCTGACTAATTGTATTTCAGTCAAAAACTAGGTTCACAACATATGAAGTGCTTGAGACAAAAGAAATCAGTGGCATATCTGAATTGATTTTACCAGCATTGAATGGGACCAAAAATCATTCCTGAAGTCCCCTTTCTTATGTACAAATTTTAACTCACTTAGCACTGAATTTAAAGTTCTCATTAAAACTTGTACTTCAGTTTCCCTTTGATCCCTCTCACTTGGTGCAATATTTTAAGGGATAATTAGTTGAAAACTTGCAAGGAATGGACAAAAAAGTCCCCTCTATTTACTATAATTTTCCTTGAATCTTCATCCTTCAAAACCATTTGTCTGTAGAAATGACAATTTTTTTAACCGATTAACATTAAACACAATATCATTATTTTCTGGCTTGGGAATGCTTAAGATTCATGGTTTTGTGGAAATAGGAAATTCAGTAAAATATCAGTACAAGCCTTTAGATTTGTGTTATGTTACCATGCTCTATTCAGCCACAACACAGGCCCTCTCTCTTTATCCTAGATGCAGCCACATCCTATGGTCTGTGAGGAGGATACCAAAGAAATCCTCGGTGCCTTGAAATGTTTTTTTTTTTTTTAATATAAAACAAACAAGCAAACAACAGCAAAACCCCCAAAGAAACAAACAAACAAAAAACCAAAAAAACCAAACCTTTCTGCATTTTTATTCCTAAACTGTTTTAATAAAGAACATTTCATCTCAGTTTGGGTTTAACAGCTTCATTTGAAGATCTGTTTCTCTCAGGAGTAAATACTGGCCTGCAGGTAGCCTCATCGGTTGCCTCTTAAATTTCTGTCCCTGGACGACTCTGAATATTCACCCATGGCCCCACCTTCCTTACAGTAAGTCACATGCCAAAGTGAGTCAGCAAAATATGCTTAACTGTATTCCAGAGAATCGATGCTTCTATTACATAAATGAATAAAAGTGGCCAGAATGTGTATTTCCTTACAAGCTTTTCTGGTTTTATTCTCTCTCTTTGGGAAAATGCAGAGATGTGTATTACATTCCAGCTTCATGGTACACAAACACTTAGACTCTATAAAAACCCAATTTAAAAATCTTAAAATCATCCTAAAAATTTGCCACTGTCTGCTATATCACTATATTTTTCTCTTCAGTTTAAGATGTTTTCCCTTAGCTGTAAGGATGGAAAATGGATATCATTAAACTGTTTTCGTTAAGTCCGTGACAGAGTTCAATAGTTTTTTTTCCTCCCCCCTCAGTTCACCATCATCTTTCCTCCAGCACTGCATTATTCCTGTGTGTCATCCTCTTCTAATTCCTGTGACAAATATAATTGTAACGATTTTATTTAGGATCAACACTGCACTCACAATGCAAAAAGGCAAAAAGTTAAAGCAGCTGTGTCACTTGGCTCTGCCTAGAAGTCGGTCAGGGCAAAGGCGAGGCAGCTGTGGGGAACAGGCAGCAAAATCTGTTGCCTGCAGGAAACAGATCTGGGGACTGACAGGAGCCAGGCAGCACCACCAGCAGCTACTGCTTTATTAATTTTACTGTGTTTCAAGGAGGTGAAGGACTGAAACATCAATAAAGACAGAAAAACACACCCTGTCGTATTTTAGATCTATGGTGTTAGGCTTAATTTAAACATATATTTAAACATTTATTTCAAACATAAGCACCAATTGTACATAATATTTTATTTAATAGTATTAATTTAAATATTATGCTAGACTAAGTATTATTACACAGTTATAGCCTCTAAATAAAATGATTTCCATACATGACAACCTGGAATGACTTTCAACATTTGACTAGAGAAACAAAAATGCTAGTGTAATTACAACCTTATTCCATTTTAAAGCACAAATGATTTAAACAACTAATTTTATGTTTTCTGTTTTCTGTGACTGGAATAACCCATTGTTATAGCAGGTTGATTTTGCCAGTGCCTTTACTACTTTGACTGTTCACAAGTTGTCTTACAGTTTGAGACGGTGTCAGACCTAGAGACTACATCTTATGCCAGCTGGAGTGGGAACATTGGTTTGATGTATAGAAATGCAGCTTTTAGAAGTCAGGGTCTGCTAGCAGTTTCTCTACAAACTACAATGGCAGCTGTGCTAGAGGTCATGAATATTACATAAGGGCTGTCCATGCATTCAAGCCAGCATCAGTAAGCCAAATTCCCATAGCAACACTCACATAGATTTACTCATTGCTAAGAGATGCACCAGTTCAGCAGTAAGCGCTGCACTGCTACCCCGATTAATCCGCAAGATACTATTACTTCAACTCTTCTTTTAAAGATCGTGCATTTACTGATAAAATTCAACACTTCACCTGAATTTCAGGGCAGCTTTTATCACCTTTCTCAGAGCAAAGAAATCTCCAACCAGCAAAAATTAGCTCTGATAAAACTGAAACTCCTGATAGAATCAGCAACATTTCTGAGATACAAGGCTGAAGGGAAAAAGCAGACTGTTTCTGTTGAGTTTCTGCTATACTGATCCCAGGACTGCAAGACTCAACTTCAAAGAGATGTTCAGCATCTCCTACAGTTGGCACATTCCAGCAGCTCATTAAAAAGCTGCTTTAGGAGCTCTTATTAAATATCAGTTAACAACTACATTTTCAAAAAAACATTTTTGGCTTCCCTATTCAGGTTTTCTGGCCCAATGAAGATGTCTGCTTGTATATTATAGTCCTGTATTATTTACAGAGCTGGTCCTTGCCATACAATCAGCTGCATAGCTCAGTGATCTGGACTCAACGGATTTCTGAAGAACTCTTGTAAAACAGGTGGCCTAAATGAGCAGAGGGAAAGCTAGCAGTGGAAAATTAAATGGAATGGGAGATGGAAGGGAGATAGAGAAAGAAAAAAACAAGGCAAAATGGAGGAGGGGAGTTAGAGGGAAAGAGAGAATGCAGATCAGGTAGATCTGAGGAGGGATCTCAACAGTGTATTTAAATATGAGATATTAGAAAGAAAAACAGATTTTGGAAAACAGTAATATGCTGAAATCTGGCAGGTAGCTTACAAAAAAACTAAAACTGGAATGAAGTGATAAATGAATGATAACAATTAAGATGAGCACAATTTTCACAAGTACAGTAGTATTTAAAGATACAGCATGGATGAAAGAAAAAAAAGCCTGTTGACTTCCACTGCTAAAACCTTCACATTCCTAAATGCATCTCATGGAAAATACATAAACACACATCAAAAACCTAAAGTTTATTTAGTGTTTTCTTACTAAATTGTCACTATTTGCCATGAGTATGGAGGTAGGAGACCTATATATTACTCATGGGATCATTTAACACACAAAATATAAAGAAAGTCAGTGAAGTCTTCAGGAAAAAAACACCCTTGTAACAGATTCTCCCAATTTACATATGATTTGTAGGGACTGATCCTTCATTGAAGGGAGATGAATACAATGTTTGAGGACTGATTTTTGGAACTGCAAGCTTTGAATGCCATAGCAATCCATAGGCAAATTTTCACAAACATCTTCAGTAAAAACTCATGGTTTTGACCCTATACACTGCAATAAATGCATATATTTAATAAAAGAATAAATGCACAGGTTTAAATAAGAATGTTCTGAAATATGCAAGTCAATCAAATCCCTTTTATGGAAAAGTTATTTCAAGTGATTTGTCGTGGAACATATATTTTCACCTGCTGTCTGGAGTATGTTTATAAGAGGTCTAATCTATATGTTAGCATATTAAAAACATTTTATGAGTAATAGATGAGATGACAGTCAAAGAATCATAGCATGGTCTGAGTTGGAAGGGACCTTAAAGATCCTCTAATTTCAACCCCCACTCTAAAGCCGAGCATTTTATGAGTTTGTGACTGGAAGTAACACCTTACCTTTGCTTTCTCAAGCTGTGCCTGGGCCTGTCGCTCTGCCTCTCTCCGCACTGCTTCCCTATCTTCTTCCAGAGATACATCTGAATCAGATGGACGGCTGGTGTAGGAGTCCGCCGAACCCTGCACAAGAAAAAGAAAAAATATGTCACAAGTTCCTTTGATGTTTAAAAAACAACAACAACAAAAAAGCAGAAGTGGCTATGCACTTTGCCTTTTTTCTTACTTCTGTATCCCTGAAAATAGAGTAACTGTCCAAAGCAAAAAATCACTTTGAAGAAATTATGCCTAGGTTAATATTTTCTTCTGGAAACTTTCCAAAAGTGCAGGTGTCTTCCCCAGTGTTTTGTTTCCTGCACTATCCTTGCACTCTTATTTGTGTGCTTTTCAGCAAGCAGAGCCAGTTGTTCTGTAGAGCTACAGCACTGGTGCAGTGCAGGGCTGAAGGACACACAGTAGCTTCAAGGATGGCTCTACAGAAACGAAAACTCTAAACAGAGACAGAAATAGCAAGCTAACAGACTTTTATAATCAAAATGCAAATTCAGTATCAACAATTACCATTACACAATATCACTGCTAAGAGATTTAACCTTTGCTATGCATTTTTATTTTAGGGCAGCCTCTTTACCTGACACACTTTCCCCATCAGAACTGCAAATGGCTCATATCCATCTCTGCCCCTCAGCAAAACATGCAAATGACCACAAATCAACTTCCAACTAATAAAATCCGTCTGGACTCAACACATGTCCCCGTATCGCCACAATGGAAGCAGCCACAATGCCAGAACAGCTCTATAAATAATGACAGCTCTGCTTTCCGTCTGCATCTCCCTGCATACAAAATAGAGTTCTGCTAATTCAATCAGAATGAAAACAACTGTCCTCTCCTCACCGCCTTTTTTCTCTCTGTCTCTGCAATACATACAGTATAAGCTGATAAGGAAAATGCAGGGCTTACACAGATATCAGAATTCTTCAGACGTCCTCCTTTGGCTCTTTTCAGAAGCCTGATCCAGGTGGCCTTCATTAGCCAGACAGCTCAGTTACTGTCCGCAGCTGCAGCGCCCGGCACTGATCTCATAAAACATGTGCACACTGAGCACTGCAGAATCACAGCTCCTTTCCTATCCATGCTCTGCTGTGAGAGCCTTCCTTCTCTTCCCTCTGCCTTTCAAGCTTCCAGCCTCACTGTTTCCAAGTATTCTACTGCAATTAAATTCTCAAATTTTTTCATGCCAGAAAAAAAAAATAAAAATATTCATTCCCAAAAAATCCACACCACCTCCAAAAATCTCAACTTGAATGATAAAAACATAAAATAAAACCGGCTTCAGGTAAATGTTGTGAGAGATGCTTCAGCTGATCAGAAACTCAGATCGATGACAGAAAAATACCTAGGGCTTTTTCCTTTCTGTTTTGGGGGGCGGATTTGGCTGTTAAAAATAGTGCTTGCAAGAGAACCTTTTAAAATCCTGTTCAAAATGTATTCAGTGACATTTGCAAGTGCAAAGTTCATTTCATCTCTTCCTAGATTGGCTGGGGGTGGGGTAACAGGCTGTTCATACCACTGGGCATGCTCCATATGTGCAGCCTTTTACGCAGATGCTCACATCACACCGGGCTGTTAGCCTATGCCAAATTGCCATTTTACATCTCCAGGGTAAACAGCTGGAAAACGCAAGGTCCCTGTGAAACTGGAAGAGCTGGTACAGCGTCTCGTTCCCTTCATGTATGTCTGCTGCCAGCCACGTTTCCCTTGGACGCTGGGTTCTGTCACGCAACGCTGCCCTCCGCTGAGCAAAGCTCTCAGCTCCACTCACAGCTCCCTTACAAAAGCCAAAATTATGCCTGTTGAGTGGGAATTTAACCCCCTGGTTACTCCTTATATTTTTTCTGACATTAGCAGAAGAAAGAAGCGAAGAATAACTGCAACACACAACACGTAAATATTAGATCCTAATATGGCAAAAGCCAAACAAAACATTAAATTTCCCTATTCTGCTTTTCAGAGTTACCCTCTACCCTTTAATAAACTGACATGGGAGTAACATGGTAAGGCATTTATGATGTACTGATGGACATACAACATCCATAAAGATTACTGTAGCTGACTGCAGCGCTTGCCTTCAATATAAGTTCACAGTCACAAGATAAATAGCAAATAGAGATTACAGCTGAGAACAGCAGTCATACATATGTCGTAGCATGTGTCCAGAAGGTTTGAATTCTGCCATGGTTTATGTCTGTATAACAATGAAATTGCCCATCACAAGTGATGCAGCAGCCTACATTTCACCATTATTAAAGCAAACAAGAGTTGTCACTAAACCCGTGGTTTATAATAAAGCAAATTTTTAACTTTCTAAATGTTTTATTTTTTTTCTCCTTTTCTGAAGCCTGTAATTGTTACAGCATAGAGTTTTATAATCTGTGTTTGAACTGACATTAAAAAACCCCTATTCTCCAAAGGGTATTTTGCTCTTCAGAAGTTCAGATACATCTGCTGTTACAGTGACTGTTCAAATCTAAAATGCCTCCTGAGCTAGAGCAAAAGGAGCAAAAAACAAAAGAAAATACACTCAAACTTTCTTGAATTTTTTAAAATATCTCGTTTGTTAAGAAAATGCAGAGGCCCTGTAACATCCCTGTAACGTCCCCAAATCCTGTCAAATTTTGCTATTCTTTAAAATTTCCCTTTGCCACAACTTCTGACACACCTGCCAATGAAAATAGTGGGAAAAGATGAGCAGCAACAGAAGTTTAGTGTAGAGTTTAAATCCTGTCATGGTTGACACAACAGTGGTCTATGGACAAAACCATTTATGTTATCACAGCATCAAAGCTGAGCTCCCCCATAGAGTCCCAGCCCTCAGGACACTCTGCTGTCCGGCAGCACTCCCTCTTTGGAAAGGGCACATCCAAGCCCTTCCCCACCAGTGCTGCAGTTCCTTGGTGCCACTCTGCTGCCTGAGGCATGGTGTCATAAACCAACCCTGAAGCAACACTACCTTTAAGTAAAAGGAAAACAAACAAAGAAACCATTAAGCCTGACATGGCAATCAGATGATGGCTAGTGTAGGTGTTCCCTTCCTACAGCACTTCCATGGTGAGCACATCATATTTGACACTGACCAAGTGGCATAGCATCAGTTTTACTATACTTCATTCTGCTGTCCACAAGGGATGCTGCCTAAATGGTTCTCACCCTATAAAAAAATTTGTGAAGCACAGTAACATAATTCTTATCTCCCCTAAGGGGGCAAAATGCCTTTTGGGTCAGGCCAGAATCGCTAAAATTGGAATTTCAGCTTCCAGACCACAGAGATCATTTACAGTGCTGGTCATGTCTTATGTTGGCCGCAGTCCCAACACACATCCAAAAAATCATAATGACTCAATTTATTTTAATTATATTGACAAATCACATGAATCAAACTCAACATTACATTTATTTTCCCAGTGGGATGGACACGGTCATGCAAATTTTCTGTGGAAAGGAGAAGTTGGAAACTTCTTTGCTTCTTAAATATGGAAAAAAATCAAGTCTTACAGTAGAGTAATCCAGGAAAATGGGTAGCATATAATTACATTTAATTCATTGTATAAACTTCTGAACATTTTTATTTACACTAAGAATGCATTCAATCACTTTAAGATGAAAAAAAAATCAAGCTTTGATAAAAACTGTGATGAAATTGTAATAGAAATACCCTACTATTTAAGAAAAATAATGACAAGTGGATGTGCATTGTCCATTCATGACAACCAAGGAAACTACATTTCCTCCCTGAGTTACTTAAGCTTATGGGGTTGCTCTGGAGAACAGTATGAATCTTTTCCCAAGAGCTTCAGAAATTCAGCCTTTGTGAAATTCTGCAGGTCTCCATCTTCTTCCACTGCAAAATGGAAGAGCTGCAGTAATATATGTATGTAATATATTCTACTGCAGCCCCCAGTTCATCATCTTTCATGGGAAACTGTCTAAGAAAAGTGAGATAAGTCATGTTAATAATTACTCCATCTATTTATTATTCCTCTTCTTTTCTTCCTCACTTGGCAGGTTTACAAACTCATTTTGTTCAAAAAAGAATTTCCTGTTTTAATAACATGCTTGACAAATATTTACCAACCATCTTACCACTTATTATATCAGAGTACTTTCTATGAGCTATTCTCATAATGTGAACCCATGTTTTTTCCATTGCTAGTGGTCATATGGGATCATATTTGAACTCCTTTTCCTTCAAGACCATAAATGTCTTATGTTCTTCAGTATTGTAGAAGTTCTACAGTACTGTAGAAGTGTGTCATCTTCAAACGATTGGGTTCTTCAAGTAAGAGGGTTTTTTATCATTTCCCTTTACTTGCTGGTAGAAACTCTTTAGGTAAATTAGGTGGTGCCTCTAGATCTCTTAATTTTCTTGTTAGTTTTCTGTACCCACACTTAACTTTCATCTGTACAGTTGGAGCTTAAGTACAGATTTTGACTGCAGTGTTACATTAGTAGCGTAAAATCTGTTGATGTGTTTGTTCTGGTAGAGTAATAAATTCTCACTGGGTTAATACAACTACCATTACTCTTGCCAATTCAATCATAGCCTTTATATTGTGTCTTTCTCATAAAAATAAAAGCAATTCTCTGAGTACCGTGAGTCTTTAACAGACTCTAATCCACTTATTAATTAGATATCATTAGAACAGATAATTTTCCAAATTACTGAAAATTCTCAAATAATTCTCTTTTTAGAAAGATCAAACAAGTTCCTTCAAGTTAAGACTTTTTACATTATTATTTATTAAATGAAGGCATGAAGCAGTAAGCAAACATGTAGCAAGATTTTACCACGAATAAAGAAATACATATGATGGCACATATATATAAAACCCCTCATTTATGATACTGGGGTCTTCTCTGAGGTATATTTGTCATCTTTTCATTCATTTAATGCTGATGAAAATTTTAAATCCAAAAGGAGAAATATATTTATGTCTTAATTTGATTTGTACTTTGAATATGGAAAACTCAGGCCTCACTATGCCAATAAGAGGAACAATTCATTTCAATATTCAGAATGCATACAGAGATATTGTTAACTGCTTATCTTCTTATCCTGTTGCAGTAGTAAGAATGACATCACGTCCTGCTAGGACATGATTTGAGATGGTATATTATGTCCTTGGGATATGCAACTACTTCTGGAGTGCTTTAAAATATGGTAAAAAAATATATTTCCATAAAATGTTTATTTCACTTAAAATCTTTTAAAATTGATTCAGAACAAAGGCAATATGTAAAATGTTGAAGTTTAGCATGAAGTGAAACTGCTAACACTGGCAAATTATAAAATGCCAATAAGGAATACAGATTGTCCTGTTTCATCATAAACTGATCAACCCGAAAAGTGTGAGCCACACAGTTAGATGTCAGAAGCACTCCCACAAACGCACCATGAGTAAGGACCTCAGTTTGGTGGAGTGGCAAAGGTGGTGAATGTGAAAATTTCTTGTCTATGAAGTTTTCTCTAGATGTCTAAACAGTGTCATTGTTTTGAAGAAAACACAAAACGCTGCTCTGAGAATGCTATGCAATGTTATATTATTTAAATATAGTTATTTATTAAATTATTAGTTATTTAAGGGTAGAAGTTAAAGTTAATTATTTGAGGGTAGAATTTTTATAGAAAGACCAAATTTAATTCAATTAATTGTTTGCAATGTATATTTGAAGTGTATGACAAACTGAAGAAATACCATTTAGCAAAGGAAAAAAGGAAAGAGGCCATGTTTTCATTCAGGGGATATCAAGCAGGAATTGTTAACTCCTTGTGTAAGGACCATGGACACTTCACAACCTGGCAACTACCAAGTCTGCACCTGATGTCCAGTCTCCACTCCCACCCCTCTCCCTCATTGGCATGGGCCCTTCGGTGCTTGGCCATTTGCCCACACATGTAAATAAACAATTACTATGCAAGGACAGCTACCAGATCCTACAGTAGGCATTGAAATACTCTGCTACGTTTGCATTAAAAAATAAACCCAATGTTGATTAGAATTTTTTTGTTGTTGTTTAGAGTGAACAGGGCATTGCTGGCATCTACAGCCATGGGGGATGTTCAAATAGCAGGACTGAAATTTTAGAACAGCTGGGAGCTTTAGGGTGGCAATGTGATTAAAAAAGGAGATTATATAGGAAACCAGTCTTCTCTTTACCCTTAACATGACTTTGTCAAGCTTGATTGCAGCACCCAGCTCGACAGTAACTATATTCCAAGGTGCTAATCCAACCTATAGCTGGATGAAAGTACAGGTTTTTTAAATAGCCCTTAAGTTTGCAGAAGACTAGATTTTGGTATTCATGAACCAGGTAAACAGTTGTACCAGTTACTTTATCAGGAACAAACTAAAAAACAAAAACCCAAATAACCCCCGACACCAAGCAAACCCACATATTTGCACCCATATTTCATTATATTGGCCTAAATGTTTGTTCTTCTGTTGTTTCACTATAAAAAAGTAGCATGAGTAGG